CAATTTTGTACAACATTTGTCTTAAATTAAACTATTTAAACCACTGACAGGTAATTACATGTACTAATCTAAAATTTTTAACTCTTCTAAAACTCTTTAATGGTCTACAAAAACTACATATTTATTTTTTTTAATAGTTTTTTGAATTATACTATAATTACTCGTATTTGTATAAAATAATAAATTAGAAACATTTTAAATGAAATTATATTCATATAACATTGTTTTGACACACCTGTAGTTTAGAGTAATTATTATGAATAAGTTTAAGGCTTAATAAGTAGGTTGCTTCTACCTAAGTCGTCTCAAAGTCTACCGATTAACAGAAACTAAATGAATCAAAATGTGTCATCATTATTTTTAAACATTTTCTATTATAAAAATATGTATTATTTAAAACGTGGGTAAAGACAACAAAGAACATTATAAACTTTATATAAGCATTTCAAAGAATTTAATAACATTTATGTTTAATATAGAATTGCCGCTGCGCTTTTGTGTACTTGAAACGCGATACAACTAGGGACAAATACGTTTTTATAAGAAGAGCAAGTTTGTTGCTTAAGTCTTTAGTTACAAAAAACAAGTCTTTAAATTTTTATTGTTTTATTGTTTGAATTTCTTACTTCTAAAGTAAATTTATATGCCAAATCTTAATAATATTAAGCAGATTAAGCAACTGTGAAAGACAAACTGCAACTGAGCTAAACAAGTCACGTTTTAAACATCAAAAATTCGAGTAAGTCTCATATTGAGCTCGTCTTTGAATGGCGTTTGAGTTTTAATTTATTTTTAAAAAAATATTTATTTGACATTTGATTAAATTTTTAAGAGTAATTGTTTTTTTTATAAAAAAAAACAATAATACATTTGAAAATTTTGTAATTAATTGAAATTCTAAAGAGCAGTGCAGGACGTAGATTCAGTCAGTCATTATTGGAATACTTTGGGTTACAATAACACTAACTTTTATTTTAAATGAAATTTCAGTTTTTAGGGTTGCCTGAAGATGCCTACGACTATAGTAAAATATCGGTAACAATAAAATACATTATTTCAAACTAATTTAAAAAGTTTTGTATCATTTAATATCCATCAATTAGCACGTACAAAAATATATAACTATATATATTTAGATCATATAGTGCAAAAGTAATTTCTACATTCTGGTCTATCAATTGTTGCATTCTGTCGAAACTCTATATTTCAAACATGTAGTTCCGGGTCTACAGGTTACTTAAAGCCTTAATTTTAGAGACATTTCCACAATGTTTGAGTGATCCAACGGTTCGCATGCGTTTATACTAAGAAATGGATTAATAGACAACCAGATTATTATATTTTTAACACAAGCGTTCCAATTTTGTCATATAATTTATATCTTTTTGAGGTAAACTAAAAGTAAAAACAAAACTTTGTAAAATTTGCTTTTATGTAAAGAATGAAGAAAAATGTAATACTTAGAAAATCTCAAATTTTGTTATGGCACAATGATTAAATATTTTATTTTTAATTCAATAATGGCGCTTGCTTAATTGTTTCAACAACATACGCTGCTGATGCTGAAACACTTGGCTTCTACTAATCCGGATTGGTGACATATACTGGGGCGTAAATATTTTTGACACTTGAATTGGCATTTGATAAATTTATAACGTCTGCGGTAAAGGTATCACAAATTGTATTAAAGAAAACCCCTAATCGTACACAAATAAAACTTTACTTTGCATATAAATCAAGATACAAAATCAATCTGCCCCACAGGTAAGTCGGATAAGTCGGGTAATTCAAGCAACTTGTTCGCATGCAACATTTACAAAAAGTTTAGCTTTTCTGATGTCTATAAAATGTCAGGAATGATTTAAATACTTGGGTTTGTTTGTTGTTTGCTTTTGTTTTGTAATTAATTCATTCAGCGTATAAACAATGGAACATTCAATATGTTTACTGTTGCATGCAAATTGGATATAGAAACTGTCAATACGATCATGCCGAGTTGACTGAGCATGACTCAATTTCCTAAAAAAAATAAATGCAGTAAAGACAAAAACTGGAGTGGGTGTGCAATTGCACGTTGCATAAAATTTGGTTTATATTTTTTCAATTTATTAAAAAATTTTCAGATGTTTTTGTATTTTTCTTTTTAGTAGTATGAAAGCATATAATACGCATACCATATCGAAAATATCTTTTTATTATTGAGCTATGCAAACATTAAAGTTAATGAATGAAAATGCCACACATTCATTATTTTTCGATCATTTTTCGAACAAATATTTATATAAGATAATTTTTTTGTTTCAGAGTTTTTAGTGTTTTTTGTATATTAGTCATAAAACACGTGCATTTATAAGTGTACATACATTTATATATTTTTTTATTTCTTAAAAAATATATACAACAAAAGTTTAAGTCGTTTGCTGCCCTACTCATTGTCAGTTGAAGTTGACAAATATATAGGATTAAAATAATTAATAAACATGTGGGATAAATATATAAATCAAATATTTTGTAATGATAATGATATTAAAGAAAAATAAAGAAATGTATATAGCTCTATTGATAGAAATTATAATACATTATTATTATTATATTAGTTTATAAGATCTATAATAGTTTTCTTTGCAATACACGTAAACTACTTACACTATATGTAGATCTTAATGATATTCGTCTTTTATTCTAATTTATAAAAATTCGTTCATTTAAAAATAGTTAAAGTCTCCACAAACTAATGTTATAATTAGTTTAAATTAATCTTATTACTATTACTGTAATGAATAAATTAGAAATTTCTTGTCCCATGACAACAAATCTATTTTGAGTAGAAAAGGATGGTAATTGTGGGAAAATTTTAAAAAATAATTGTTTAATCCAGTAAGTTCTTGCGCTGACCATAGATATGTTTCAGATATTGACACTATAAAATTAATAAATAAATGAAATCAATAAATTAATAAAATAATGAATTAATAAAATTAATAAACCAAAAATAATAAATAAATAAATATTAAGTTAGGGTATTTACAGACTATATGCGAGTACAATTTAATCGTGAAATCAAAACTTAAAACAATGGAAAATGTAGTTGACATGAAACCTTTTTACAGTTTACAGGACGTAACATATACTATTGTTATTGTACCTCAGAAAGTAATACAGTATTATAATATAAAGGATATATATAAAATTTCTACAATCTATGATTATAGTAGTAATCCCAAGTTGATTCTTAGCTGCAGAAATCCCACATCTGAATGGCAACAAGTGCGAACAAAATAATACCCGTTTAGGAAAGATTTGATGGCAATCACTTGTAAACTTTGAAAGATAAGCTCAAACTACTATTACAAGATCCTTTCCATCGGATATTCCCTTATCACACGATAATAAATTTTATGCAAAGTCCAAGTGTTTAATAGAATTTTAAAAACTTTTCACTAGATTTTAATTCTAATTCGAAGAACTTAATTGATTTAAATTTAGATTAATCATTGGTCTCTGCATCAGAAGCGTTCTTGTTAACTAGACCCTTTCAAACTTGATCGCTGACACCAGCAAGTTCTTTCAAATGGAAAATCAAACTTTCATTTCGTTTTATTTATCATTTCCTGAAATAATCAGGAAATGGATCTAGATGGAAGTAATCTGACTTTCATTTAACTGATAAAGATCCATACTTTATCGATTATGAGCGAACGAAGGAAGATTGTTAAACATCATTAACACTTTTTTAAGATTGTCAAGTTATTATTTACTAATAAACAAAATCTATATATCTAATAAAATGAAAATTATATAAAAGTATTCATTCAACGAATCTATGATCAATAAAATCAAAATAATATTAGCTATAAGTATATAATGTTCTATCATAGTTATTTACAAGTACTAATAAAGAAAATTTATATGTTTCATTTACTTATATATCTAGAAATTGTTTTTCATTGTTTCATTGTTTCAGTCAATTCATTTTTATGACTAATTTAAGAATTGCCTTATTTTTAGTGTAATTATAAATTATTTTAATTGAAGTGCCTTACTTCGTAGGTGTATTTCAACAATTAAGCATATTTAATTATTAATATACAATAATATTATATTTAAATTTGCGTATTAAAACGCACAACGCATTGCTTAAATGTATTAACCCCACTTCATTCAAGATTTAAATTGATAAAATAATCTTAAAAAAAATTAAGTTTGTATTTGACGCCAATTCAGATTAATACGCAAATTTTTATGAAAGTTTAAGATTCAAAAATAAATTTAAAGTAGATGTAGGTGTTTTTAATAATTGTACTTTTCAGTTGAATTATTACATTACTTTAGGTTAGAATTTTATTAGTGTAAACGTTGCTGATTCAATTATTAATCAAATGCCATTTTTATTTTTTCAATCACGTTTATAATTTAAAAATGATCAAATCTGAATATTGACACTATTTATTATAGATATTTTCCAGTATTGGCTGCTATATGTAAGTAATTTTTTCTACGAAATATATTTTATTGTTATAGTTATTTAATTCTATATATTTATATATTATATTATTATAATAGTAATTTAATTTATTATTTAATTTTAATTATTTAATAGTTTATTTAAAACAACTTGTATCTTGAATTGCAGATTAACAGTTTGGAAGTCACTGTTTACTATTTTTGTCGCTTGCCTGCTGATAAGTAAACATTTATGTTGCATACTTTGCGGTTTGTATTTTATAAACTTGTTTAGCATATATTTTAGCTTATTTTAATTTATTAAAACCACATATCAATATTAACTCACCTTATCATTGGTCTCTTCGAGTTCTAGAATACGAAATTCTAGAAGTTCATTCTGTTCACGTAACTCATTTGTTTCAGTTTGCAGTTGATATTCTTGTTCTTCCAGTAATTTAATGCGTTCCATGAGCTGTTTCACTCTTGGACTGTTATTGGCCTAAAATTAATAATATAAAATTTTTGAATCATTTCTAAAAAGTTGATGGCGAAAATAGGTTTAAAAAATCCACAATATAGCTTAAAGAACTAAATAAATGTTATTATAGGTGAAATAATAATGAACTAATAGAACATTAACTTGAAAACTGATAAAACAATTAGTAAGTATATACATAAATTAGCTAAATCAGTAAATAAATGTAAAAACCATCTTTAAGCAAGCAGAGATTGGAATATGTTGGTAATATAATAATACGGCAAATGACGAATTAAATAATAAAATTTTCATCAGTATTCAATCATAGCAGAGCCGGATGACCATTAAGAAAATTGCCTGATGGAGGGAACAGTGCCTTATCAAGAATAAGAACATGTAATTGAAAAAGAGTTAATGATTAGTAAGAATAAGAGGCTATCGTGGGATAGACTTGGGTTTTTTAAAGACTATTTAACATACGATAGTGCAAACAATATTTAAATAATAAATATAAAAATGTGCAACATGAGTGAATTGCAACAACAAAATTTTGTATTTAATTAATTTAATTTTTTGTTTTCTTTTGTAATATAATTTATTGCGACGAAAAAGGTGATTTACATTTAATCTATTTTGTACATATTTTGAAATGGCTTTGATATATAAAAAAATCGGAACTATAAAAATTATTTAATGAGAATATAAATTTTTTGGAAAATTATAAGAAACGAAATACTTTTGAAATTTTGACAATTGTGGAACTTTTTTACTATATGAATTCAGTTTTCCTAAATACAATTTAAATTCGATAATATTATAAGTATTGAAAGTGTTATCCTAAAATTACGAAAATAAAAAGAACTTCAATTTATAGGCCATTTGTAGTACAATTACAATTATACAAAAAAAACCAATTAGCCCGTTAATTATCATTAAAAAAACACCCACAAACAGATGAAATAAAATTAGGACCAATCTCTTGTTATCGTTTT